AAAAAAAATTCGACCCAGTTTTGGGCCCAACCGGAATTCCGTCCAACCGGCCCGGCTGGGACCGGTCCAGTCCAACCGGCCGGTGGCCGGTGCAGCCCTGGGAAAAACAAAAGAAAACACGCTTCGCTGGCTTTTCGGCAAAGCTTGGCACACAGGAGGAATCCGCCTCAGCAAAACGGGGGCGGGGGGGGTGCGGGAGGAAAAACGCTGTCCTGGCGTCCCGGCACTGTCCACGCTTCAAGATTTTGGTGCCAAGTAACGCAGCAGCACTTCCGTATAAGCCAGAATCGAAGAATAAAGGCAAGCTGCGGCTTAGCTGCCACCATTCCATCAACATGATCCAAGCAAAGCTGATACAATTGACACACAAGCTAAGCAAGACCAATATCATACAGGCAAGCAACATTTTTTTTTTTTTTTTTTTTTTTTTTTTTACTCACTCTGGACCTGTGTAGCACACCAAACATGTTCGGGTGTTCGGCCGAATGCCTCCCGAACGTGAAAAAAAGAACATATTAAAAAAAAAACATTTTTTTTTTTTTTTTTTTTTTTTTTTTTTTTAACTCCCATGTCTCTGCTAGGAGAGGTGATAAGAGGCACCCCCTCCTAGCACGAGACCTGGGTGCTCCGGTCTAAGCAAACAAAATTCTATAGGATCCTGTTATTGTAAAAGCCATAAACCATCTCCCCGGGTGCTAGTGGTGCCAGTTCTCACCAGCAGCACTAGCACCGCAGGGGGCGTTTAAAAAAAAAAAAAAAGGATGTGTGAGCAGGACACTGCCCCATGCATCGACTGTGCTTCGCGATCGGTATTCCCTATCTTTTACCTTCACGTTGTTCTTACAAGGTTTCAAAAGGACTACTTCCAGTGTTGCATACTGAAACGGTGCAGACCAGAACAAGAACCGACCTCTCAATACAAAGTATAAGATAGCATAGCGGAAGACTTAGATACCAGTGATCCGAACAATCAATATTGCAATGCAGCTCTGAACATACATCATCGTCATCGCCACACGGTGTGAATGGGGTCTGGCGCTTCACACAGGAAGACTGCGCCAGCCCCTACCATACACAGACGAAGAAGAAGGGGGTTAGACGAAGAGGAGGGGAAGATGGGAATGTCGTCAACACCAAGTCTCGGCACACGCCCAAATAGTCCCTCGTCGAAATGTCTGAATCCCAAATGTCMAGTCTGGATCCAATGTCGTCAAGTCTCAAGTCACAACTCTGTCTCTCTCTGTCGTAGTCTGAGAAGTCAGGTGGTGAGAGGGTGAGAAGAGATGGTGGACTTAGAAGAGGAAGAAGAAGAACTCTCTCTCTCTCTCTG